ATACTGCAAGACAAAAAATAATATTAATGATTACCTATGTACATACCACCCAGATTGTGACATAAAACTGCCAGTAGAGCTAAATCTTCTGGGAGACTTTTTCTTGTCACATCTACCCTTCACTTTTAGTCATTGGTACAAATATTCTTTCCCATTTTTAAAAAGCAGTTTCACTCTAGACTCTAGCAGTAGGTACCCTAAATAAATGCTGAAGAAGAAAAATACTTGACTTAGATTATTTGCCCTTTTCTTCTATAACTTGACTCTCATGTTATAGTTAAGTCATTTGCTTAGAAAAAGTAGAATTCTGAAATTTATCCACAAACTGAGGGAACCTTAAGAAATTTTATTTGTGCAACAGTAAAAATGACTATGTTGACAATCTGGAAAAGAAGAAAGTAGGCCAAGTCCCATTCTCATTCATCCTGTCACAGAAGGGTTTTCTACTCTCCCAAAGATCAGTGTTCTGCTTTGCCTGTGTGTGGATTTATTTCATTGAAAACTGCTCTTCATAACCAGGTAGGTCCTGCAACTGGTCCTTTTATTCATGTTCAACTCGTTAGACCATGCAGGTTTTCTAGGAGTTGGCTCAAGCACTTATAAGCAACTAGAATATCCCTCTTTTGCTTTCCCTTTAATTATCCCATTACCCTTGGGGTTTTGTTTTTGTTTTTTTTTTCTCCTTACCTATTCATTCTGACTACATTTTGCTTCTGGTAAAGATAACTTGCTCTAAAGAGTAATTTTAGTCTTCAGCTGTCCTTTGTTTTAGAACATTGCTGAAAATTTATGATTTAAATTTTGATATTATGATCACTCAGTTAAAACACATTTTAAACTAATATTAAAAATGTCTTCTACCTGAGGAGATAAAAAGGTTATTTTGAACTAAATATGAAGGATCACTCGCTATAGAAATTACTGATTGTCATGATGTAGTAATTTTTTCTTTACTCTGCTTATCTAGCTACTTGAAGCTCCTTCTGGTATTAACTCCAGGACAAGTAGTTGTGGTCTTAAAGGGGCTAGTACTATTGAAGGATTGCTTCAGTATTTCAGTGGGTTTGCCAGCTTTTGGAGAACCTGTGGTGATTTGCATACTTTGATTTCCTTCAAATAATAGACACTATAATAGAGGTATAAATAAGTTATTGAAAAAAGAGTAGGAAATTAATTTATACTCAAGATATCCAGGAAGACTTCATGGCAGAGTTCTTGTTTGAGCAGGACTTTGAAGGGCAAATAGGAAGAGAATAGGCTTATTAGGAGGAGAGAAGGAAGGTATTCCTGTTCATGGCTTGCATAAATAAGAACTTGGAAGTGCCTGGAATATTTGGTGTGAGCTGAAGCATAGTGCATTAGTAATAATAATTTGAAGCAGAGTCAGAAAATAAACTTGATGCCAAATTTGGCAGGCTATGGATATGAAACTGGGGATTAGGGCTTGATTCTTTAGGCCTGAGATTTTTGATATGGGCACAAGGGGAGAAAGACATGGAATCTTCAGCTCGTTGATGTAGTAAGCCATTATGACTAGTGAGAGCTTTGTGTTCTTTAGATAGGTATGATGACTCCGCAGATCAGAGTTGTCTTTGAGTATAAAATTTAACTCTCATTTTAAGTAGTTAGAAAAAAACTCTCTTGAATGAGACTACCAATCTCAGCTTTATTTTAGAGATTAGTTTTGATGTGTGTATTGTAAAACCACCTATTTGAGAATCAAAGTAGTCTAGTTTTCCCTATATATGATATGCTTTATTTTGTGGTAACTACACAGTTAAATATGATCCTGAAGAGAGTGGGTGTGAGGGAACTAAATTTATTTAAGACAGAGTCTCACTTGCCTTGGTGTCACAGCAACCTCAAACTCTTGGGCTCAAGCAATTTGAGTAGTGGGGACTATAGGTACCCCCCACAAGGCCCAGCTATTTTTAGAGATGAGGGGGTCTCACTCTTGCTTAGGCTGGTCTTGAACCTGTAAGCTCAGGCAGTCCACTCACCTCAGCCTCCCAGAGTGCTAGGATTATAGGCGTGAGCCACTGAGCCCCACGGGAACTAAATTTTTATTTATTTGTTTAAGACAGAGTCTCACTTTGTTACCCCTTATAGAGTGCCTTAGAGCTCACAGCAACCTCTAACTCAGACTCAAAACAATTCTCTTACCTCAGCCTCCCAAGTAGCTGGGACTACAGGTGCCTGCCACAACACTCAGCTATTTTTAGAGACGGGCTCTCGCCCTCCTTGCTTGGATGGTCTCAAATTTGTGAGCTCAGATAATCCGCCCACTTTAGCTCCCAAAGTGCTGGGATTACAGGTGTGAGAAGCTGGGCCTGGCCCAGAACTAAATTTTTTAAAATTTGAGTCATTTTAAGTGATCAAAGAAGACTTTTATGATTGCTATTATAATTAATCTGGTTATTTTAGAGAAAAATAGTGTCCATCCTACTCCCACTTTTGCTCTGTCCCCATACACGTTTTATTTTTTTTTTCTTGTCAATACCTTAAACTAAGAAACCAGTATCAAAATTTTAACTTTTAGAACACTTATTTTTGCCATTTGTAGATGACAAAATTCCCTATTATTATTTAGAAATAACTTAAGTGAGTGGACTTGGTAATCTAATTTATCTTTGTTTTGTGTAGAATACAAGTTGTTTGAGTCTAGGATGGGATTCAGCACAGCTTTTCTTAAAAGGCTAGGTAATAAATATTTTAGGCCTTAGGAATTATGGTTTCTATTGTAACTCTGCTTGTTGTACTGTAAAAGCAATGATAGTACATAAATGAATGGGCATGGCAGTGCTGTAATACAACCATTTATAAAATAGGTAGTGCCTGGGATTTGCTGACTCCTGTTTAGAATATTCTTTCTTTTAAGCCAATTTCATATCTGAAGAAAAGGGACTAGATGCCAGTCATATTACTGCGTAAGTAATTCCTGTAATTAGGCAACTATGGCTTGCAGAGGGCATTATTTTTAAGTTATACTGTATTGCCTTTATATATCTAATTAAACACAAAAATATTTTCATTCTATTCTAATATTCCTTTCCTCAAATATTTCTTTCTTTCTTTCTTTCTTTCTTTCTTTCTTTCTTTTTTTTTTGAGACAGAGCCTCAAGCTGTCCCCCTGGGTAGAGTGCCGTGGCATCACGGCTCACAGCAACCTCCAACTCCTGGGCTCAAGCAAGTCTCCTGCCACAGCCTCCCAAGTAGCTGGGACCACAGGCACCCACCACAACGCCCGGCTATTTTTTGGTTGCAGCCGTCATTGTTGTTTTGGTGGTGCCCGGGCTGGATTCAAACCTGCCACCTTAGGTGTATGTGGCTGGTGCCTTAGCCACTTGAGCCACAGGCACTGAGCCTCCTCAAATATTTCAAGAGCCATATGCCAGATATTAGGCTGAGCACTGGGGATAAGTGGTGAACAGGCAGAATGGCCCCTGCCCTCCTGGAGATTTAGATCAGGAGAGGTGATAGGCAGTAAGCAAACAAATTCTAGATTGTGATAAGCACTGTGATGTTATCAAGCTTGATCCTGAGAGAGAGAATAGGGAGTGGGGTGTTAATTAGGTAAGGTGAAGTTGAAGTTGAGACTTGAGGGATTACAGTAAAAAACCTGACAGGGGTCAGAAGATAGTCATCCATCCTTTCCCCCTACCACCAAGTGTCAGTATAATGGATAAACTATTCGAATTCACATAGAAAATATTATAAACTGAAACTGTTTTAGACCATTTTCTCTCTCTCTCTCTCTCTTTTTTTTGCAGTTTTTGAGTTTTGGGCCAGGGCTGGATTTGAACCCACCACCTCTGGCATATGGAGCTGGCACCCTACTCCTTTGAGCCACAGGTGCTGCCCTTTTTTTTTTTTTTTTTT